ATGGTCTCTGAGGACAGGTGTCAATCCATATCTGCCAAGTGACCCTATGTAGTAGAACAGTCTCTATTCTGCTCTGTGTCAGTGTGTATCAGGGTCTCTGAGGACAGGTGTCAATCCATATCTGCCAAGTGACCCTATGTAGGGGGAACAGTCTCTATTCTGCTCTGTGTCAGTGTGTATCATGGATCTCTGAGGACAGGTGTCAATCCATATCTGCCAAGTGACCCTATGTAGGAGGAACAGTCCCAATTCTGCTCTGTGTCATTGTGTATCAGGGATCCTTAGGACAGGTGTCAATCCATATCTGCCAAGTGACCCTATGTAGGGGGACCAGTCTCTATTCTGCTCTGTGTCCGTGTGCATCAGGGGCTCTGAGGACAGGTGTCAATCCATATGTCAAGGTGTCAATATGTCATATGTCAGGTGTCAATCCATATTCATTGGGATTTAGGAATGTTAGGTGATTTCTGCCTTTTATGGATTAAAACCAGACTCTGTATCAACTGTGTAATTTTCCATGGGAGTTTTGCCATGGATCCCCCTCCGGCATGCCACAGTCCAGGTGTTAGTCACCTTGAAACAACTTTTCCATCACTATTGTGGCCAGAAAGAGTCCCTGTGTGTTTTAAAATTCGCCTGCCCATTGAAGTCAATGGCAGTTCGCCCGGTTCGCCGGTTTGCGAACATTTGCGGAGGTTCGTGTTCGCCGTTCGCGAACCGAAAATTTCGTGTTCGCGACATCACTAGTCGTAAGTGTACAGTCGTGGGAGATTCTTGGATTTGGGGTTACCACAGTATATTGTGTACTGAAAGAGTCGTAGCATTGCCTTGAAACTTCTTTATGCATTATTGTTATTGTAATTCGTCTGGGACAAAATGGCGCAAACATATTATGCACTGAGGTTATTGCTTAAAGAAATAGTTATGAAAAACAATATGTTCCATTTCTAACACCTTGTCCGTTTGCAATATCTCTTAAAGACAAAGTACACAGTTTAAGAAATACAACATTTCATTCTAAAACTTGTAATATTTGCATTTGCCCATAACAGTTTTTTTCTACAAATTTTTCTTTTAGGAAGTCTACTTGTATATCGAAGTCTCTTAATTCTGAGCAATTTCTCCTAAGTCTAAGTATTTGGCTTTTCGGAGCGCTGTCTAACCAGGGTTGGTAGTGACAGCTATTTTTATCAATAACAGTTTTTACACATACTTTTTTAAAAAACGTCTTGTGTGTACTTTTCCATTTTTTATAAAAATATTAAGATCTAAAAAATTAATTTGTTCTCTGCTATATTCGTAAGTGAGGATTATACCTCTATTGTTTAAATTGAGATTGGTGATAAAAGAGTTGAGTGCTTCTTCAGTACAATCCCAAATAAAAAGATCATCGATATATCTAAAAAAAAGACCAAGTTTGCTCTCCACGCAAGATTGCTAAAAATGGCTTCTGACTCCCAGTCGGCCATAAATAAATTTGCATAGCTGGGAGCAAACCTGGTCCCCATAGCATTGCCTCTATTTTGAAGATAAAATGAATTTAAAAACCAAAAATAGTTATTTTTTAAGATAATATTAATACCTTCTAAAATAAAATCTATTTGTTGACCAGCAATTTTCCCTTCTTTTGTTAAAATATCTTTTACAGCTTGACAGCATATATCATGAGGTATGATGGTATATAGTGACTGAACATCGCATGTCACTAATATAAAACTAGATTTCCATATAAAATTATTTAAAAAATTTAAAAGGGCAATGGAATCTTGGAGGTATGATCTCATGAGTCTGACTGAAGGCTGTATAACAATATCTATATATTGCGAAAGATTGCATAGGAGAGAACCTATGCCAGATACAATTGGTCTTCCAGGCGGAGAAGTTTCATTTTTATGAGTTTATAGGAGGAAGTATATTACAGGTGTTACAGGAAATTGATTGTTTAAAAAATGTAATTCATGTTTATTTAAAATGCCTAGATTTACACCTTTTTTTAAAAATTGGATTAAAACATTTTGAATCTGTTTAATAGGGTCTGATAGGAGTTTTTCATACACATTTACATCATTTAATTGTCTGTGTGCCTCATCTATATACATTTGGGTTGATTGAATGACTATCCCTCTGCCCTTGTCTGCTGGTTTAATGACAATATTTTCGTCATTTTGAAGTTCTTTTAGTGCCAGTTTTTCTGAAAGTGTTAGGTTGTGGGGGTCATATTTATTATTTTTTCTAGATCTTTTGTAACTAGTTTTTCAAACATAGTGAGGGGAGCAGATTTAAAATGGAGCAGGATAAAAAGTAGATTTCTCTCTGAGCGTAGTATTAATTATGTTATCGCTCCGAGAGGATATTGATGGGGTTAAAATTGGATTTTGGGTAGAATTTTGTTCAGTTTTCTCCACAAAAAATCTTTTGAGAGTAGCTTTCCGAACAAATTTGTTAACATCTATAAAATCTTCAAAAGATTTAAAAGTATTAGTAGGGGCAAACTTAAGACCTTTAGTTAAAACCGCTATTTGTGTACTACTTAAAATTTTTGTGAAAGGTTAAAAATGCCGCTACTAGTACTGTTAGAAGAGGGTATTATCTTTCTAGTCTCTCTTTTGTTCGCGTCTGCCACTTCTTCTTCCTCTAAATTTAAAATCCTTTTTTTCGGGCGTGAGGGGTGAGGTGTTTGGGCTAGTGTGGTGTGGTGGGTTCAAATTTCTAAAAAAATATCTTCATTTTCGAATAATTGAATTCTGTTAGGGTGATTCGGAATCGTGGGTGACTTGGAGTAGTTTGAATATTCTTTATGGTCATTAATATATTTTGATCTTTGTGGTTTGGGTGACAAGTGTTTATATTGAGGTCCTGATGTGTTGTTATATGTTGGTGAGGTATCGTGATGGGTACAGTATGAATTATATCGATTACGTTGCGTAAATGAATGGTATTGGTGAGTGTTGTAGTGGTTTGATCGCTGTGGGGGACCATGAGAGTGATTGCTAGGTGCCCTATGTGTGTACGTGTTCTGTGGTGAGTGTGGCTTTTTTTTGTATTCTGATATTGATGTGACTGGTGTTTAGAATATTGCCTCTCTGGATTTTCATAAGGTTTCTGTTCACGATAAATATTGGTTCTCGTAGGACCTGCTTGTTTGAGTAATCCGTTTTGTCTCTAATGTATTTTTTTATTTTTGTATGTTTTGTTTCAATTTCAACTTTTTCGATTTTACTATGAATTAGAATGGAGTTTTGTTTGTATGCCTGTGTTTCTGTAAATGGTAGGAGTTTGTCTCGAATGTCATTAATTTCTACATCTAAAACAGACAGTTTTTTACTTTTTTTTTATTATTAAAGTTTCCATGAGACCTAAAGTGCAAAGTTCCAGATTATTATTCACTCTTCCATAAATTCTAAGTCGTCTTGGTCTGAGGTGGGTAATTTAAGTAGTCGTAAGCCGCGAAGGGTAGTTTATGTATAAATCTGATAATTCAGCCCCCCCCCCCTTTTTTTTTTTTTTTAGCTGGAGCTCCTAGTTGAATTAGGTTGCCTTCCATTACACATGTGAATGTTGACCATAATGTTTCATTAGAAATGTTGCCTTTGTCGTTAAGTTCTATGAACACCTTAGCCAATAATTCTAGGCGTCTCCATTCTCTTTATTAGGTAGAGTTCTTTCATCTATTCTCCAATGATAGTTGGTTTTATAGGCCAAATCATTTTTAGTTTTGACTCCTATTGGAGCATGGTCAGACCATGTAATAGGACCTATATTTGAATTTGTGAAATTATTTAAATTTGCTGAATCAGTCAAAAAAAAAAAATAATCTATTCGAGAATAGCTGTTATGAATTTTAGAATAAAAAGTAGAATCTTTTTCACTAGGGTGCTGGACTCTCCATATATCAAAGAGATCGTATTGATTAAGGAGATCTTGAAACCATTCAGCCCTTGTTTTAGAGACTTTCATCCTTTTACAAACTGTATCTGATTTTCTGTCCCATTTATCATTTAAAACAGTATTCCAGTCTCCCCCTATAAGGGGTATACCTTTTTTTGATTTTATCAATCTTACTACATAACTTTTGATAGAACTTCTGTGAGAACTCATTTGGGGCATAAACATTTCCTAGAGTGTATATCCTATTGTTTAGTTTACATATAACTATCAAATATCTGTGTAATGGATCACCTGTCACCCCAACTGGGTACCTCAGTTGAAGGATGCTCCTAGTGCTTCCTGAGGACTCCAAGCACTGCAGCAGACACCACAACCACCGAACCAGAGAAGCATATGAATGCTCTCAAGCATATGAATGCTGTAAGCAGCTGAACAGGAAAAGCATACAATCAGCTTACACTCCTGGCAATCAGCATACAATCCAATTCCCCCAATAACGAGACGACACTTCGTTTTGAGGTCAAGCAGAACTGACTGTACTGGCACATACAGCCTCTTTTATTCACAATCCACAAACATAGTACTGCCCACAGGGTTTTGAAATACAACCAATCAATCCGTACAATACACACAGACACTCCCACACAAAATCCTCCCCTCTGCCTGTGATATGATTACTGAACACAATGGTTAATATAATTATCACAGGCAGAGAAATACAGTATTATAAAACATATCACAGGGACCCCAAAACATGCAATAAACCCATAACCTCGGAACCGGGGGATCTGGGTGAACCACATATCCAAACTTCACCCAGATATGTTCAGTAGTTTGGAAGATACAGTTTAATGCAGATTCCACAGAACAAATACAGGCTACATGAAAAATAATTACTGTATAATGTGTCCCCTGTTGTATAGTTTAATACTACTGAACAATGTCTTTGTGCACCAAATACCAGTGAAATGGCACCATGTAGAAAAGTCCAAACAGTGTCTGTGAGTTAAAATGGCCGCCATTCATTGTTCTCACCATGTGCTTCATCCATTGTTCTCACCATGTTCCTCTGATACATGAAATGGTGGCCACCCAGTAAGTACACAGTTTGTCTGGTAGTCTATCCAGCCGGACCAACAGATGAAACACATGGGGAACAGTGCAACAAACGAAGGGAATCATAAAAAATATGGACAATAGTCATATTTGTGCACAATCTCCAGTTTTGTCACAGGGCACAAATAGTGTTTTCAAATGCCATATATCCCAGGCCATAGTCAGAAGGTAGGAGGCGGGAAAGCAGTCCCCTCCAAGAACATGTGTCAAGGTCTGTTCTGCCACAATATGCTATTAGGCAGTGGCGTCGCTAGGGGGGGGCCAGAGGGGGCCATGCCCCCCCCTACATCATGCTGTGCCCCCCCTTGGGCCCCCCCAAATGCCGGCAACTTGCTGGCCATGGGCTTCCCTCGGACTGTAACAGCCTGTCACAGCCAGGGGGAGGGAATGCAGTGCTGAGGTGCTGGGTGCTGTCTGTGGCTGGAGGGAGCACTGATTGGCTCCCCGCAAGGCCCCGCCCCCAAACGAAGCCCCGCCGATAAGCCCCACCCCCGCCGTAATGCAGCAGCCCATGCTGCTGCAGAAGATGGCTGCCTGACCCCCAGCAACATCCTCCAGTGACAGGTAGGCTTGGGGGGGTGTATACACACACACCACACCATACACACACATTACCCCCCATACTGCCCCATACACACACACTGCCCCCCATACTGCCCCCCATACACACACACTGCCCCCCCATACACTCACACTGCCCCCCATACTGCCCCATACACACACATTGCCCCCCCATACACACACACACTGCCCCCATACACTCACACTGCCCCCATACTGCCCCATACACACATTCCCCCATACACACACACTGCCCCCATACACTCACACTGCCCCTATACTGCCCCATACACACACATTGCCCCCCCATACACACACACTGCCCTCCATACAGCCTCCCATACACACACACTGCCCTCCATACAGCCTCCCATAAACACACACTGCCGCACATACAGCCTCCCATACACACACATTACCCCCCATACTGCCCCATACACACACACTGCCCCCC